ACAATGAAAGTATATAGCCCTCCGCTTATCCTTCAGAGACAGGATGGACCAAAAGTCAACCGACTTCTGTTGTAAGTATTTCCTCCTGTCTCAGGGATTTATAATACTAAAACTAAATTATCTTACTAGTTTCTATGCATTTTCATTTGTTTGCAAATAGAAATGGACACATTATATAATCAAAACATATTTATGTAATTTTATTTTCTGATACATGTCAGTACCATCAAATTGTTATGTTAGTAATTATAGAATGCTAAATGTTAACAACTCAGAACGCTTTTCCTAGTCTGCCATCTGACCTCATATGTCAAAATTGAAATCATTCTTTATTTACCAAACCCTATTCATGCTAGGTAAGGCTGATTGAAATGCATTTTTAAATTTTATTGTTTATATTTTGCTTGCTTCCAAAAAAACAAGTTTTTAAGCCAACATAAACTACTTGTTTGAATATATTTTTAAAAAACTTACTGATCTCATTATGAGACAATGCTTTGTATATCTTACTATATTTGAGAATAGCTCTTTTAGGAGAAACAGGTGTTTTGGAAATGGGGAAATTATTTCTGATATTCTTTCAGAGCTCTTGATGGTTATAATACTGGTCATCTGCACTGTAATTTTTTTCTGAAAAACAAGTATTTTCTGAGAAACATGAAATTATTGTAAATAGTCATATCCTAATTTGAAAAAAATAATTAGTTGATCAGAATTTTCCCATAGGTAGGAATGAGTGTACTTGTACTCTGAAAAAGTCACTAGGCGATTCTTTTAAAAAATGAAGAAACTAGTCAGTTGTAGACAGAACTCTAGGAAGAAGAGGCACATGCATTTCTAGAGTGAGAATTGGCAGTGATAGTTCTGAGAAAAACAGAGGCTGTGAATTTGGGAACTCTCCTCCTACAGAGATAGACATATGTCTCTACTTTAGAAGTCAAAACATGAAAGTCAGATTTATAGGCGTTCAATTTATTTATGCCACTAACGGCTGGTAAGGAGCCCTAGGTGACACATAGGAACTGGACTATTAGCCCAGAGAATGATGATTGGAACCCACCCAGAGGCACTGCAGAAGACAGGCCTGGTAATCTGCTTCTGAAAGGTCGCAGCCTTGAAAACCCTGTGGAACAGTTCTACTCTGCACGCTGGGAGTCGCCACGAGTCAGAATCGACTTGATGACCATTAACAACAACAGAGGTGTATAGGTCAGAGGTTTTCTGTTTTACTCATTCTTTTGGAAGTATGTTTATATGGACATCTCTTCAGTGAGCAGGCTAAAAATTAGGTAAGGTTTTCCAAAACTTTCTACCCTTGAAAACAAAAAAATACACTCAGTGGACTCTCCTACCATTGTTAGGAACTGCTTTGCCTGAATCTGTGAACTTGGAAAATCTCTCTGTTGCTGTGCTCTTACCTATGTCAGTAGATACTGCTGTCTTTTAAAGACGGAAAACTCTAGAAAATTATAACATAAGGAACAAACTTCTTAAGTCAGGATACCCTAGTTATAAATGCCATTATTAGTTCAATAATATGTTCAGATTCACTTCACTCAAACCTGGCTTTCTACCTGTGACTTAGAGAGTATTATTTTATGTGTGAAAGGCATTCTATATTGCTTAGAGAAGTAACTTTACTTGGAGATTTAAAAACAAAATAAAAAACTAAGAACTTGAATAAGAAATGAAATGCAGTCATAGAATAGCTGCGAAACAATTTACATATCATAATAATGTAAACCCTGAATATTAATTTAACCAGAAATGGCTATGCTCCTGTGGCTGTATTTGGAGAAGGTTGGGGGTGGTGAGGGAGTTGGGAGAGACATCTTCCTAGTAGAGAGTCACTAGACAATATCTAAAGTTTAAAAATAAGAAACAGTCAAAGAGTTGGTGGTAATTACCTGTAGGAAACAGGATAAGAAGATTGGGGCATTGAACTGCTGGTTTTTGTTACAAGCTTTAACAACTACGTACTTATTATTATTATTTAATTTTTTTTTAAAAAAAAAGGTGAACACAGAAATGTAAAAGATAACTTTTGTAAGACATAGTAACTTAGATCTTTCCACCAGAAATTTCTTGGTGCGACTAGTATGCTCCCAAGTTAAATACTTCCCCTTCTGTATTCAAATATATTCTGATTAGAGTAACACTTGTGTACCTTTTGCCTTCTGTGTCAAACTGATTGCTTAGAGTATTACATTTAAAATGGCCTTTATTTTTGATACATGTTGCATGCTTAAAATTTAATTTTTAATTGACTGTAAACCCCAGCTGAGTTTATTCATTTGATGCAGATTATTCAGAAAATAATAACTGAGCTTTTTTATCTAGTTTGTTATTAAAAAATCTTCTTCAGAATCCTACAGTACTGTGTCCTCATCCCTGCAGTGATATTGCTCTCTTAAAAACTGACAGCTAGTGGTTTATCAATGGTTAATGAAGTCAGTATAACATACTAAAAATTGGATTGTATCATTGGGTAGTTGGTATCTTAAACAACTGTTACCCATAATAAACACTACTATAGTTATCTTCTGTTTTTTTTTTTTTTTTTTCTCTTAGAGTCATTAGTAGATAGAGTGGTATGTACAGGAAGAGGGTATGTATTTTTGTGAGAAGGAGAGTTGATTTATTAGTCCAAATGGGCTTTTTCTTTTGTTTCATTGTCAGCTTAGGAAACATGAAAGCCAAAAAGCAAACCAAACCCACTGCCATCGAGTCGATTCCGACTCATAGCGACCCTCAATTGGGTCTCCTAGGCAGTAAATCATTACAGAAGTAGATTGCCCTGTCTTCCTTCTGCAGAGTGGCTGGTGTGTTTGAATCACCAACCTTCTGGTTAGCAGTCAGATGCCTTACGCATTGCGAAACATTAAAGGGGAGAGATTTTTGAAAAGACCAGCTAAAAATCTTTATTAATACTACTCAGAGGGACAGAAAGTATTACATTTTGTCGTTCAGCTCTGCCTCAAATTAGAGCCCAGCAGATTTTTAGCCAGTCCAAGGAAAGTTCTAATTTGAAATTTCCAAATCACAAATTATTATAGTTCACCTTTATTGTTGTCATGTACTAGGTGCTTTTTAAAGAATTTTTAAGGTTTTTCCTCATTTACTCTTCTCCACTGTGTGTGTGTGTGTGTGTGTGTGTACCAAAACCAAACCCACTGCCTCAAGTCAGGTCCGACTCATAGCAACACCTCCTTGGGTTTACGAGGCAGTATCTCTACGGAAGTAGCTTGCCTACTCTTCCTTCTGAGGAGTGGCTGGTGGGTTTGAACCGCCAACCTTCTGGTTAGTAGTCAAATGCCTTAGGCACTATGCCACCAGCAATCATAGTAATAAGGATAGATGTAACTTACTAGATATTGTATCATATTGCAAATATCAAAGCTTTAGGATATTGTCGCCATGCTAAACAAACAGATCTGGAAGTTAACAACCAAGTAACACATATAAAGGAGCTTAAATCAGGGCCATAAGTTATTCAATAAATGGTGCTGTGATGACTGACTAACCACTTGAAGGAGGGAAGAGGTTGATACCTATACATATCTAACATCCAAGATGCATTTCAGATAAATTAAGGTACTATATAAGTAAATAAATAAACCATACTTTAGAAGAAAGGATAGGTAATTGTATAATTTTGTTGTAGGGAAGGGCTATGCAAAAACGATAGGAAAGGCAGATCACATGGAATAATCAAAGAAATATAAACTGTTATGTGATACCACTCAGATTAACATAGATTAAAAATGATCACTGCAGTGTTGCTGAGGGAAAAAGTGGGCATTATTAAATACCACTGGGCTATTGGAGACTGTTAATTGGCACAACTATTCCTGTAGATAATTTGAAACATGTATTGTTATTGTTATGTGCTGTCGAGTCGGACCTGACTCATAGAGACCCCCGTTGGGTTTCCGAGTATCACTATGGAAGTAGGTTGCCCCATCTTCCTTCCAAGGAGTGGCTGGTGGGTCTGAACCGCCAGCTTTCTGGTTAGCAGTCAAGTGCCTTAGGCACTACGCTAGAGGTCATAAAAAATTTAAACCTTTTAATGTAGCAAATCTCTGCTTCAGTTACTGATCCTTAGGAAATAGTTGGAAACATGTTCAAAGATACATGGAGATGAATTTTATTGCAGTAATGGTAGTAGTATTAGGATAGCTTGTATCTTGCCATAAGAGACTGCTTAAACTCAGTCCACTAGAAATAGTGGAATATTACTTATTCATGAAAAATAAAGATGCAGAACTATATTTAATGATTAGAACAACTTTTACAATATAATTAGTGGAAGAGAAGAAAGCATATTTCAGACTAGTAGGGAAATAAGATTTCATTTTTATTTGTCTTTAATATTTATATGTGTATTTTAACATGAGAAAAGACCTGTAGCTATATATTACCCAAATATTAATTGTAGGTGCCTTTGGATATGAGATTTCAAATAATTCAAAGTTTACTTCTTATTTCAGATGATTAACAGTTTATTTCTTCTTAATTGTGTTTTTCTTCATTCAGCAAAATTTATTGAGTTGTTGCAAAGGCCAAGTATTGTGTTTGCTTTTAAATGATAATGTATTTGTGCAGTTAAAAATTGGTGTTATATTTTAGGAAGGAAATGACAATTTAGAAATGTTTTCATTAAATTATTTAAAGAACATGATTCTTAAAGTGTTGTGTTCAGTTATTTGGAAAATTCATTCTCTTTCAGCACTTTTTTCGTGAAAAGTACAAAATAAAGTGAGGTATTAGTGTAAATGTGCCCAAGCATTCAGCCTGAATGACCATAGTAACAGTATATTCATTTTATAAAACTGTTATTTGTAAGATAGCTTTTCTTCACGTGAGGATAGATGTGGATTAAATGCTCTACAATTTGTATTTGAACCAGAAATAAGCTTCACATGTTCATTGTGCAAGGAATAGCTTTTTAATGATTTCACTATAATGGTGTTCTCTCCCCCCCCCCCCCCCAATTTCAGGCAACTGCAAGAGCAGCAACGACAAAAGGAGCTGGAGCGGGAAAGACTGGAGCGGGAAAGAATGGAGAGGGAGAGGTTGGAGAGAGAGAGGTTGGAGAGAGAGAGGCTGGAGAGGGAGCGACTAGAACAAGAGCAGCTGGAAAGAGAAAGACAAGAAAGGGAACGGCAGGAACGCCTGGAGCGGGAGAGGCAAGAAAGGCAAGAACGGGAGAGACTTGAGAGACTTGAACGGGAAAGGCAAGAAAGAGAGCGACAAGAACAGTTAGAAAGGGAACAGTTGGAATGGGAAAGAGAGAGAAGGATATCAAATGCTGGTAAGAAATTTACATACTATTCTATGTTCTTGATAGAGCTGAGCTTAGATGATGTTTTATGTGGTCACATAGTAGACTCCTTCAAATTTGAGATGCTTGGGATTAAGCAATACCAGTTGGAATTACGAAAAATAAGCAGCAATTACTATTGTAGCATTTTCTTTTTATTTTTTTCTGTGTCACTTTTATTGCTTAGAGATTTAGAGAAGGCTCTTGGAATTTTTTATTCTGGCATTCTAATTCCTCTAACACCCTATAAATTGGCTATAAAGTATAAATGTGTTTTTATGGGAAATTTTAAAAATTGGATGAACTTAGAATGTATTTCCCTCGTAAGACTGCTTAACTCTTCTCGAATACTGTAGTATATTACCTCCCTGCAAGAAATTTGCTTGATGGTATTCTAAAGTTTATGAAGGCAAAATTAAAACAGGAGAGGAAAAACATCCTGTCTAAAACTAAGTAGTTACTTAAATGCAAGTATTTCCTGATACTGTGAAAATTACTCTAAATCTGATATAATTTATTGGAAATCTTGAGACTTAAAATATAGCTGAAAGTTTAAGGAATTTTAACATTCTTTAAAATTAACATTCATTGTAGGATTTAGGAATATATATATATATATATATTTAATTCCATATGGCCTATATCAGAAGTCTCAATGTACATTGATTAAATATTGGTCTTTTTTGTTGTTTGAGTTAATTCATTTGTTTTTAACTGCTTAATTATTTTCTGGGGTTACAGCCAACAAAATAAAACGTTTTTACAAGTAAGCTTTGAATGAGGGTCTGAGCTTTTTATAAATGTTTTGCCAATTTCATTATTTGTTACTTAAAAAAAAAAAAACTTCTGTTTATAGTTCTAGTCATACAATTTGAATGTCCTTTTAGTGGACTAAATGATGAAAATTAAGATCTTTAAACTGTTTTCTCATACAGGGTAAATCAGTTTAATTAATTCACTTATTGACTAAGATTGTCTAGATCTCAAATGTATTTATAAGTTAAAGTATTTTGGGGTAAAAATAATTATTTGCACATGAACCTAATTCTCTGGTACTAACTATAGTCTACATTGATACATTTTGTCTGAATGCTGGTTTTGTGGCTTCACTAGCTCCCTTTTTCTCTCTCCTTTTTTATCCTGTCTTTTGCTGCTGCTTTCTACCTTCTGTCCAGCTTCATCTTCAGACAGCTCCCTGTATAATGCTCCACTTCCTGAGTATTCCAGTTGCCAGCCTCCTTCAGCACCTCCTCCATCATACGCTAACGTCATCTCTGCTCCAGTATCAGATGCCACTCCTGATTACGCTGTAGTGACTGCTTTGCCACCTCCTTCCACACCCCCTACACCACCACTTCGACACTCAGCGACACGTTTTGCAACATCTTTAGGCTCAGCCTTCCACCCTGTTCTTCCCCATTATGCTACAGTTCCTCGTCCTCCGAACAAAAACTCTAGACCTTCTTCTCCTGTGAACGCCCCCTCTTCTCAGCCTCCAACTACGAAGCCCTGTGCCTGGCCTACTTCCAATTTTTCACCCCTCCCTCCATCTCCTCCAGTAATGATTAGCAGTCCCCCAGGCAAAGCTACTGGTCCAAGGCCTGTCCTCCCTGTGTGTGTTTCTTCTCCTGTGCCCCAAATGCCTCCATCACCAACAGCACCCAATGGACTGCTTGACTCTGTAATATATCCAGTGTCTCCACCGCCTACCTCAGGGCCAGCAGCTCCACCGCCGCCGCCTCCACCTCCACTGCCTTCCCTTGCATCACTCTTACACTGTGGCTCTCAAGTGTCTCCTCCTCCAAGCGCCCCTATTGCCTCAACTCCCTCATCCAAGCCTAGTGTTCTCCCTTCTCCCTCTGCAGCTGCCCCTGCCTCTGTTGAGAGTCCTCTAAACTCTGTGCTGGGAGACTCCTCTGCTTCTGAGCCAGGCTTGCAGGCAGCCTCTCAGCCGGCCGAGACTCCAGCCCAACAGGGTAAGGCTTTCGTTATTGCTACTAACAACTAATCACTTAAATATTACATGTATCAACAGATTTAATTGCCTAGAGGAATGGATAAGGTAGTTTTGATAGATGACTGTCTTCATGCCACAGTGCCATATTTTTTAATTACAAAAACAAAAAACTAAAGTAGAAAATAAATTTTTTTTCCTCTTGGTTTAGTTGCAGCTGGAGGATCATTATGTGAAATTGCCATATTGAACTAGGTTATGGTGTCTTCTGCATTTGAAGATGTTTTCCAATCCATGTATGTTTCTTTTAAATCTCACTAGGTAGGCTTTAGGAGCTCTGGTAGCATAGTGCCTAAGGCACTTGACTGCTAACCAGAAGGCTGGCAGTTCAAACCCACCAGCCACTCCTCAGATGGAAGGTTGGGCAATCTACTTCCCTAGAGATACTGCCTCGGCAACCCAAGGAGGGGTCGCTATGAGTCGGGGCTGACTCGACAGCACGTAACAACAACAACAACAACAACAGGAATGCTTGACGTGAATACACATTGGACTACTACTACTACTACTACTACTGGGAAAGATAGAGCTGTATTTAGTACCCAACTGTAGTCATTACATAGATCATCTTAGAGTTTCATGTGGAATAATTTTGATCTTGGGCCCCGTTCTGTTTTGGCCTCTCCCATATTGGATTTCCTGGGACGGACAGATACCACCCTAAATCCCATGGAGCAGCCTGACTTTCGTTGCAGGAGTGAAGCAGCTGGCAGCCTTTGTATATTCCACAGAGGGTTCCACAGTCCAAAATTAGAAGAAATAGTGGGCTCAAGAGAAGGAGTTGAGAGAAAATAGTATCCTCTAAGTTACCCCTCCCCTGTCACACCTTACTTTCAGAGTAACAGGGAAGGGAAAATATTCTAAGTATGGATTATGTTTTAGTAGAGAGGACCTGATTTTGTAAGTAAATAATTATTTTTTAAAAATAGGATTTAGGGAGAATTATAGGGAGGATTCTGACAACAGATTTGCACTCAAAAAGGAACAGTGTTATAGCCTGGATTTGAACATGTCTCTTTCAAAAATTCTTAATTCCTAACTCGACGGCACATAACAACAACAACAATAACAAGGCATGTTATTGCTTTGTCTATATCTTGTGTTATGGACTTAATGAATTTGCTTAAAAGTTGAGTCAAAACTCACTGTAATATGTGCCATTTAGTGTTACTGTGACAGGAATGCTGTGAGAGGCACAGTCACCCTGGCAGGGTCAAAACATCTACCTGCTGTATCCTTAAAACGCTAATAATCTGTGGAAAATTGACAGCCCATTATTCTGTCTATATTCTTCTTTGAGTAAGTGATGTCTTCAGTTTGTGCAATTGCTCAGTTAGCAATTTCGAAAAATGTACCACTCAATGTGCAAATAGCATTTTATTTGTCCCAAAATGTCCTCTTTGAAGCCATAAGGAAGGGGAACCTACTAATTCAGTATTCCGACGTTAAATAAGTTATTGTTTTCACTCCCTTTGTGATTTTACAGGATCTGAACATTTCTCTTCATACCCTCATCTCCTAAGCTGAAAATAAAATACAAAAAGTCTACAATCAAATGCTATATCATTTAATTATTTCTGAGAGTTATTTTGCAGTTTTACTTTGTACAATAGATGCCTTGCTGCAGTGATTCTCGACCCTAACTGCACATTGAATGAGAGATATTTTTAAAATACTGAAGTGTGGGACCCATCCCTTTTTTATGTTCTCAACCTAGAATTTAAGGTGTACGTGGATTATTTGGTTCTGTTAGTTCAAGTATACCTGCTGCCACCATGTACATTAGTTTCTTTTTTTGAGGGGGATGCTTACCTTCCTTCCCAATTTTGTAAGGCTCTACTTTGTTTATTTACTAAATCTCCATGAACAAAAAAACCTTAGGATTTGTTATGCAATTCTATTAATAAAACTCTAAATGTTAAAGTTGGGAGCTCTGGTAGCATAGAGGCTAAGACACTTGCCTGCTAACCAGACGGCTGGCGGTTCAAACCCACCAGCCACTCCTCGGAAGGAAGGTTGGGCAATCCTACTTCCGTAGTGATACTGCCTCGGAAACCCAAGGAGGGGTCGCTATGAGTCGGGGCCGACTCGACAGCACATAACAACAACAACAACAATGTTAAAGTTAAGTAGTTGTGCACTTTGGCTTTACCTTTGAGTAGCTTTTTTAATATTGATCTAGACTTTAAATATTATATCAAACTCATTAGTAAATAGTAAAAGTTTGAGTCATTTTGATTTATCCTGATAATCTTACATCCCTTTCTACATAAAACAATACCACTTAGCTGTATTGTTGATGGTCTTATTTAATATTTCTTTCTCTCAGGCATTGTCTTGGGACCACCTGCACCTCCACCCCCTCCACCACTCCCACCAGGTCCTGCCCAGGCTTTGGCAGCACTCCCTCCTCCCCCAGGACCCCCACCACCACCTCCACTTCCATCCTCTGGGCCTCCACTTCCACCCCCTCCACCCCCTCTTCCTAATCAAGTACCCCCTCCTCCCCCACCACCCCCTGCTCCACCCCTCCCTGCATCCGGATTTTTTGTGGGATCCATGTCAGAAGACAATCGCCCTTTAACTGGACTTGCAGCTGCAATTGCTGGAGCAAAACTTAGGAAAGTGTCACGGGTAAATACATTTCTGAATTCTTGTATTTCTTGTGTATGTATGTCTTATTCTTTCTAAATATCTAAAGTAATGGATTTGTTGTATTCTAATTTTATGAACGCTGTGTTACTAACTTCATTGATACTTTTAAATGTTGAAATAACTTTTTAAAAAGTTGCAAGAATAGAGAAGTCTTGTAAACCTATCACCCGGATTTACCAGTTAACATTTTACTATATATGATTTATTATTCTCTTTCTCTTTGTATGTTTATTTCTACACACACACACACACACTTTTTTCTGAATTATTTGCAAGTCAGAGATATCCTGCCCCTGTCCCCCTAAATAGTAGGCATTTTATAAGAACAATGACAGTCATTGACATAACCACAATGTAATTGTCAAAACTAGAAAATTTAACATTGATAGAATACTAAACTCTATAGACCTTTTGCAAATTTCATCTACTGGCCAATAATGTCTTCCGTTGCTTTTCCTTTCTAGTCCAGGATTACTCATTACATTCAGTTATCAAGTCTCTTTGATGTATAACAATTCCTCAATCTTTCTTTTGTGATACATTTTTGAAAACTATAAGATAATTAATTATTCTCTAGTTCATCCCTCAGTTTGGGTTTGTCTCATGTTTTGTAAAGCTTAGATTCAGGTTATGCTTTTTTTTGGGGGGGGGGGATGGGTCACGAATATCACTGAAGTGTAGCACATAATATTATTCCATTATGGTGATATTAACTTTGTTTGATAAAGCTCCCATGAATATATGAAGTTAATACTCTTCACGTTCCATTGGTTCTTGAGGAGAAAAAAAAAACGACAGATTTTTAATTGACATAAATATTGATACATCCTTCTGTTTCAAATGTCAAATGTTAGTAAATATAATTGTCTTATATAAAAATTTATTAAGTATGTATATTCTCATTAAGATGGAGGATGCGTCTTTCCCAAGCGGAGGGAATACCATGGGTGTGAATTCTTCCTCATCTAAAACAGAAACGGGTCGTGGCAATGGACCCCTTCCTTTAGGGGGTAGTGGTTTAATGGAAGAAATGAGTGCCCTGCTGGCCAGGAGGTGAGTGAGAAATTTGATTATGACGAACATGTCCAGGATTGAGAAGGTTTTGTTTGTTTTGTTCCAGATATAATTTAACTAGATGAAGTTCTTCCCTCTTGGAGGAAGAGTAGTTTTTATATTAAGAGTTAGATGAAGTTTTTTAAATCTGGTTTGCCTTTTTTTCTAGGAGAAGGATTGCTGAAAAGGGATCAACAGTAGAAACAGAACAAAAAGAAGACAAAAATGTAAGTTAAAAAGAGGCTGCCATACCCTGTAAAATGGAAGCACAGGTTATTCAGGAAGTTGTGTGAAAGATTATTTAGTTTGAACACAATAAATTTGAACTTAAATTTGTTTAGTTTTAACTTCTCATCTATTAAAAATAACTTCTTTTGAGTGGTATGTATACATTTTTAATGGCATTCCTTTTCCTTGGACTTGAAATGAGAGATCAGACTATATAAATCAGCAGTTTCCAAATGTTTCCCCTAAGACTCCTGTGGTTAATAGATGTGACCCTAAGGGCGTAACCTTCATACCCTCTTACCCACTTCAGCTGGGGAAGCTTGGCTTTATCTTTTCTAGATGTTAGTGTCTAACAAATAAAATGGTTATTTTGTGTGTTGTATTTGGCCCTGTTTGGTGGCTTTCCTCAAACTTATCGATTACGTTGGCCTCATGGCATTAGCTAATACAAGTTCTCAGTAAGAAGAACTTAGGAAGAAAGAAGCTGTGTGGGTGAGGGTGGAAGTAGAGGGAAGTGATCAGAAAGTAAAAGAAGAAAACTGGAATGGAAGGGAGGAAAAATAGAAGGGAAAAAGTGGGAAGTGCCACAAAGAATATTGGAGATGGGACATAAAACACGAAGTGTATGTATATATAGGAACAGGTTTCCAGTGGATGTGATTTTATTGTCTATTTCCTTATATTTAGGAAGATTCAGAGCCTGTAACTTCTAAGGCTTCTACAAGTACACCTGGTAAGTTAAGAGAAATATTTTAATGTTTATAAACTTCCACTAGATTTTAATCCTTTCCAGTTAAAATTTCCCTGCTTTCCCCTGTTTGGACCAAGTGACTGCTACTTCACTTAAAGTTCTTTGTTCATACTGTATAAGTATTGCCTTTTTCTCCTGTCCTTTGTGATCCTAGAAGTGACTGTTCCTTTCTTCTTGAGATCCAATTAAATCCAGAGTTTTTTCTACTGATTCTTTCTCTCAAAATCATCATTTTTATATATTCTGTGTATTATCATCAATGATTTGAGGTTACTCGCTGAAACAAGAAAAGAATGCATTATTAGGTGAAAAAGAACTTTTAATCCTTGATTATTAAATGAAAATAAAGATTAAGTGGATATAAGTCTACTTCAAAACATTCTCAAAAATGACAAGCTGGTCATTTTAACCATGCATTTAGGTTAGATTGCTCACCATGGAAGTAGTTTTCTAATTTATAAGCTAAAAGGTATTGCCAAGTTTTGAAAAACATTCTTGAATTTAGAGAAATTTCTGACATTGAGAACTCTTGAGCACAAACTATACTACTTAGAATATTAACAAAATAAACTTCACTCAAGGTACTTAATGAGTACTTTGTCAATGATGAAAAGATGAAATTGGTACAGTTTTACATGTCATTTTTTGATACTTAACTAGAAGACTAGGAGCTATACTATCTTATCACCTCCTTACTTATTTTGGAATGAAGTGACATAAATAAATTAGAATTAATTCCTAGAATGGTCCTAGGAAATTATTACAGAGAAATGTCTATATCAAGTCTTTACATTTTAATTTGGGCACTACCAGATACCTCTAGAATTTAACTTTTTAGATAAATACACTTTTAGAAAACAAACTTTTTGTATGTGTGTGACTGTATATCCCATTTGCACATACAAGAATCCCTCATTTTCATTATTGAGTAATGCTGTTCAGTAGCCTGATAGCTAGATTAGAATGTACATTGTGGTTTTATGAACTATTTTTCCTTGGCTCACCTTGATTTCCCTCTGAATAGTACTCAAGTCAGCTTACACTATCTTCATTGAAAATTTGCTGTGGTTTATGACCCACTTAATTAACTTTCTTTTTCTTCCTAGAAGTCACAATTAGTTACGTATGTTATTATTAGAACTATAGCTATTTTAGAACTGAAGAACACCTTAGGGTCACAGAATCTTTTTAGAATTTGATGAAAAATATGGACCCTCTCCCCAGGGGAGAGAAATTGTAGTTTTAATACAGATTTAGTTACACTTTTAAAATATTCGTGAACTTCCTGAGGGTTATCCATGGACCTCAAATTAACAATCCCTTATGTAGCATATATTCCTCTATTTAAAATATGTCAGAAGGAAGGTTGGGCAATCTAATTTCATAGTGATACCACCTCAGAAACCCAGGGAGGGGTTGCTATGAGTTGGGTCCGACTCGATGGCACATAACAACAACAACATTTAAAACATGACAAAGTAAAGCATGGATTGCGTGTGCATGTGTATGTGTGTACATGCATAAAATCGAGGATGCGTACACAAGAGCTAGGGCCTTCTTTTTTCACTTGTTTTGTTTTAATTGGCATTGCATCAGACACCTGACAGGCCAAAGAGAAGTTTGACCACTGAAAGCTTGGAAAATGGTGAATACACGGTGAAAGTTAGTCTTTCACAAACATGCATCAAATAATACTAAATAAAATTTTAAAGAAGGAGGAGATCATACAGTTTGGAGTAATTTGAGTCATCTTAGTAGAGAAAAATGACATTTAACTGCCTCAAAAGGTTATTAATTTAGCAGAAAGGAGGAGGAGTAAGCAATGATAGGAGTTGTAGGTAAGCAAGAGGAGATTAGAAAATAGTAAGTGGACTCACCAGGCTAGAATAGAGAATTGTTTTTGAGGAGTATTGGAAAATAAGGTTAGGAAAGCCAGTTAGAATATCGAAATGTTGGGAAGCTTTTATGGAAAGCTGAGGAGTTTAAACTTTATCCCGCAAGTTTTTAATTGGCATTTAATCAACCAAAACTGTTTTAGGAACATTAACAGGCTGTTCTCAGCAGCATGGCATGAAAATCAGAGAGGGCTGAGGTTGGAAAAGCCATTTAGAAGCTAAGTCATAGTGCATTTAAAGATCCATTATGTTCCCAAAGACTCCCTACCCCCGTAAGCAAACCCAACTCTGCCCTTCCTGACATAGAGGTCCCTTAGAGAGAACATGACCTCACTGCCTCTGCTCCTGCAGAGCTCATATGAGCCACTCTTCCTCAAAACCAGATGCACCATTAAAAATGACTCTGGTTTGGCTGATTGAGAAAGGACCTTGGCATTAGTTAGATCTTATCTTTTGGAATTACTTCCTCATTTTGCACCTATCTCCTTTTTGACAGTGTCCTGATGACTTTTCCCTTGCATCTCTAGTTGTCCTGTTTCATTCAGAGCATCTTCCTTTTTACCTCCTGTAGCTGGCATCCACTGGGTATGTTTTGACTACCTGGCCCTATTCATGTGATTATTTAATGTTTCCTGTCCAATACTGGAACCTGCTACTATTGTGGTGGTTGTTCAGAGAATGTGTTAATATTGGAAGACAAAAGAAGGAATAAAAAAGTTTAATTAAAAAGAAATGAACTGATTGAGGGAGGAACAAAGCAAGATCACACCTACTACATGCCTGGATGTGACAAATATCCAGAATGAAAGCAATGTTTCATGAGAGTTTGAGTTTAGTCTTGGATCTGTTAGTTTGAAGAGAGAAGAAGCTACTGAATGAGGATGTGCAGAAGCCAATTGAGGAGATTACACTGGAATTTAGAGCAAAGTTTTGTAGTTCAGACCCTTTCCAATGAGGTCATGACTCCTACATAGATGAATGTTCTCTTCCACAACAAGATTTCACTCCTGACTTTACCCAGTCATCTTGTGAGGCCAGTGAGACGACCTAAATTGGTAAAACAATTCAAAGCACTTAGTAGACTGCTGACCAGTGAGTCACTACATAGTGTCTTTGGTAACGAGAGCTGGTTGTTGTCGTAATGATTGTTAGCTGCTGTTGAGTCAGTCTGTCTTGTGGCGACCCCATGTGTTACAGAGTACAACTGTTCATAGGATTTTCTTGGCTATAGCGTTTATGAGAGCAGATCATGAGGACTTTCCTCCATGGACTCTCTGGATGAGTTGAAACCACTAACTTTTGGGATTGCGGCTGATTGCAAACTGCTTGTGCCACGCAGGCTCCTAATAGGAGCTTGTTGTTGTTTTGTGCCGTCCAGTCAGACAGAACTCATAGTGACCCCTCCTTGGGTTTCCGAGGTGGTATCACTATGGAAGTAGATTGCCCAGCCTTCCTTCCGAGGAGTGGCTGGTGGATTTGAACTGACAGCCTTCTGGTTAGCAATCAAGTGCCTTAGGCACTATGCCATCAGAGCTCCTTAATAGGTGCTTATAGAGTGAGTTTAATTTAATGGAATTGTGTGGTAAGTCCCAAGAATTGGTGGTTTGAGAACAGACAAGTATATAATAGGGTTCCATGATTCTGAATTTTTTAAAATCATTTTAATTTTTCTCCAAGAGGACTGTTTGAATTTAGACTAAATATTGAAGTACATGAACACATTAAAGATAAAATTTTTAAACTATATTAATTTAAAATTATTAAGTTTATACTATTGCATTCTAATTAGTTTATCTACCTTGACTTTATGCTATCATTATTAGAGAAACCCCTCAACATCTGATTTATAGAATTACAGTATTTTACATTAAATAATCTGAGTTTTTCTTGGGGAAACTTGTCACACTTTTTTGCTTATTGATTTTTTTTTTTTTTCACTTTAAGGTCTGAAATTCAACAGATTAGAATCCTTAAGGGTTATAATTGAAATTTAGATTTTAAATTTGAAATTTTTTATTTATATTACTACATAAGCATGTTGGCATTTAGTTACTTATTTTATAACAACTCTGAATGTATATATGGTATTTAATAACTTGTGTCCTATGTTTTTAAAGAACCAACAAGAAAACCTTGGGAAAGAACAAATACAATGAATGGCAGCAAGTCACCTGTTATCTCCAGGTAACATTTTTTTCCCTAAGTTTCATATTACATTTGTATGTAATAAGAATTAATACATTTTTTATTTAGAAAGTTTCAAATTATAGATTTAGAAATTATACAGAGGAACAAATAAAATACAATTCCACTGTTACTGGGCAACCAGAGTCTCATTTTTTTATTTATATATATATATATATATATATATACACACACACACACACACACCCATGTATATATATGTGTGTGTATATACGTATATATGTGTGTGTATATGTATTTATATACATGTATATAAAATTTTTATTGTGGCAAATATGTATAAGAAAATATTTAAACCATTTTTACATATACATTTCAGTGACGGTTACATCACCATACTGTGCAACCATCACCACTATCTGTTTCCAAATATTTTCATCACCCTTTAAAAAAATTCTGGGCTCTTTAAGCAATTTTTTCCCCCCAGTCCCATTATATTTTTACTCGTGACTGTCTGATAAGTAGAACTGTATCCTTATTAGTCAGATTGTTAGAAATTTTAAAATAGTTTTTATTTCTTCCAATTTCTTTACTTTGAGATATTTAAAACTACAAAAAAAGGTAAAGAAATAGTAGTGTACACCCTTTGCTTTTTTTCACCAGTTCTTACCATTTAACTACGTTTGCTTTCTTTTTGTCTCTGTCTCTCTCTCTCTCTATATATACAAAAACATACACTTTTTTCTTTTTTTTCCTCTGAACAATTTGACAAAAAGTTACATATGCTGCTTTATCCTAGCACTTACGCATTTATCCTAAGAACCAGGACATTCTCCTGTGTAATAATACCATTATCACTCTGAAGAAATTTAAAATTGAACAATAATATTACATAATATAGTCTATGGGAGCTCTGGTGGCGTAGTGCCTAAGGCATTTGACTGCTAACAAAAATGCAGGCTTTTCAAACCCACCAGCCACTCTTTGGAAAGAAGCTTGGTCAGTCTACTTTAGTAGTGATAGTGCCTCAGAAACCCAAGGGAGGGGTCACTATGAGTCAGATCCAACTCGACAGCAGGGAATTTGTTTTTTTGGTAATATAGTATGTTTTTAGATTTCCCCAGTAGTCTCAATAAATTCCTAGCTATTTTTTAAATACAATTTTTGGAAGAAAGCAGCTAGAAAGAAAAGACTAGTATTTTGGCAAAAGCTAAACAAAACCTAAAAATTTGAATTTGTCAGATTTATTTCTCTATCTCAGTTGAAACTTTCTAATCATAATGAAGTTAGCAAAGATAGTGCTTAGAAACAAGACTGGTTAACACATATGCTTCTTTGCGTGGGCATGTGGACATGGCCAAGCAAATTCAGCATTCCTTAGCTAGGCATACTGTGTTGGGACTAAATTTGTATCACAGGTTAAGACTCATATTTTCCCAGGAAAAAATGTGTGTTTAGAACCTAAAAAAAATTTTGACTTTCCTTAACTTTATTTTTGCCTCATAAAAACCTAACTTGATGCTAATCGTAGAAACCTAATAAGGAAAAGTAAAAGGATAAACCCCATGTTCTCACAAATCTGTTCTGTGTTATCTTGGACTTAAACCTGGGTTTGGATTTTGTGTGGTTCTTTCTGTTAGGAAAGATTTGGTGATGACATATTAAGCTCCACAAAGAAACTAGATCTTTCTGAATGCTTTTAGTTTCTAACAGATTGAAAGATGAATATTTGATTTTAGAAAAAAATAGGGGGATTGCTAGTCGGAATATTGCACATTCCTATTTCTCACTAATAGAAGTGGCCTTGTAACACACTGTAGAGACTTGATTTATGAAGTACCTATCCGGGAACAGACTGTGATGGGCGATTTGTCCTTTGAAGATGTAAATTGTGGCAGGGAAGAATCTTTCTCCAGTCTGCCACTATTCTTCATCCCCAACCCAGCAATAGGAATTCCATAGTGAAATTTCTAAAGGTAAACCTGATGGCAAAAGCCTTTCTTAGAAAGGACATGAAAGTGGTTTTCCAAGTAGAATATATTCCTTGATATTTTGGGGCCCATTTAGTGAAGGCAGAAGTATTCTTGGAAAGATTTTCCAGCCTTCCAAAAGAAGTTCAATAAGTATTTTAGATTTTCCAGCCTTCCAGAAGAAGTTCAATAAGTATTTTAAATTTTAAAGGTCACCATTTTGAAAATAATATTTTACGTAGTTTAACCTTGATTCTTGTTATCTAGTAATGCATTGGAATCATGTTCTGACATGATAGATGTTTTTGCCTCCTTTCCCAAAGTAGAAATTCTTTCCAGATTACTTTTTGACCATTCACATACTTTTTGATAGATTTGATCCAGCCACTCATAATGTTTGCCAGTGCTATATATGTCACTGAAAGCAGTCTTAGACCATTAATAAAACAAATATGCTTAAAAAACTAAGAACTATATTGCTTTTCTTCCTAAGTTATCTCCCATGTTCCCTCTGAAAATACATACCTCTGAAAGAAGGTATATTGGCCATTTATTTTATGCTTTTGTTTAAAAGTGTGCCTCGTCCTTGCACTGGGTAAAAGTGCTCATTTCCTCTCCTGAATCTTTATGTCAAAATTACATTAGTGGTAAGATGGATTAATGTCCCGGAATATATGTGATATTGCATTATGCTATATTTATTAGGTAAAGATGTCAGATAGTAGAATAAATGCAAGAATATTGTAGTTAAAAATGTTTTAAACTATTTTTCTAATGTAACATACTGGAAAGTTTATGAATTCTTTCCATTTTATTACGACCTTACATATAGATCTTGTATCCAAGACGGAAAAAAAAGTTCTGTTCATACCTGTTAAGAGTTAATTTTGTATACTTCCAGTACCAGTGATTCTGATTGGTGTTTTCAATTTTAGTCTGTAGCATCGTATTCACTCTACCAGAAATGTCTTTGAATGTGTTTTGTACTTGTTAAATCTTGGTGGTAGGTAGGTTTTAACTGTGCCCACAGCCTGTAAAAGTAACCACTGCATTATGATCTTCTTAACTATTCCTACATAACTAGAATTAGTCTCAAAGTAGCATTTTTTATTTTAATTTGTTTTTTTAATGATTATTTTAAGGTTAATAGACTCCTTTAATTCTTTTGTTTGCTATAACTAAGAAGCCTATAAAACAGTAACGTAGAATTATTTTTAGAAGTTCTATTGTATACCCCTTTAAATGGTTTTTCCCCTTCATAGACGGGATTCTCCAAGGAAAAATCAGATTGTTTTTGACAACAGGTCCTATGATTCATTACACAGGTATCATCCTGCTGTGACTTTGTGATTTGAGACTTTTCAATAACATGTTTAGGATAGGGCTGAGCTTTTTCTACATGGATTGGTAATCACCACAAGGGAGAGATTTTAAAAGACTGAATCTTTCATTCTTAGCTTTTAGAAGGCTTTAAAAAAAATCCTAAGGGTTTCTAACTTTAATTAGAAAAATGGCAGTGTCCATTGTCTTGCAATCACGTGATGTTTAATTAGGTTTAATTAGGAGACATAAATGGTAAACATATCAGAAATACTAGGATGGGAACATATGGCATATATTATTATCTACACTGTAGTTTTAGTTTAGTTTTTTTTTTTTTTTCCTTAAGTGTTCTTTTTATGATTAAAAGTATGGGACTGGGCTTTTAAAACAGGATAGAAAATCCTGTTATTAGAACACAGGACAATGTAACCATAATTGACTAATTTATTTTTTTCAGGAAAATCTGCTTTTTACATAGTTTATAATAAATTGAGTATCCTTAACAACTGAACATCTAACATCCTGAGTCTAAATCAGCAGATTATTTGTTTTCTGTAATAAGCCCTATTATACTTTTCCCCCCATTAAAAACTTTAAGATATGAACCATGTATTTCTTTTTTTTAATTAAGAAGTGGCAATTTAAAAGATCATCAAATGCTTAAGATATTTTTAGAATTAATTTGGCAGAGTAGGACTTAGCTATCATAGCACATTTATTTTATAGGAAGGCATCAAGAGGTAGCACTCTCATTATAAAGTAATAAAAGCCTCTGAGAAACCCTCATATTTTGTCATCAGTTACAGTGAAAACTCATAGGTTAGATGTAACAAATACTACCTCCACATTATTAATGCACCTATGTTTTAAAATACTGTGCCTACTGGGGGCATGAATTAAATAATATAGGAAAGGAGGTACCCAGGGAAGTGATTGGAGAGTTTTATCATCAGACTATGTGGCATGTTCTTATTTACCAAAATTGTTTTCATGCCATCAGTATTTAAAACATTTGATAAGTTTATTTTGCTAGCAACTTAAGTTTCCATAAAATATTTATTGTAGTAGTTAAAGATAGTTTTTCTTGCTTTTTTAGAGATGGTTTAATTGTTCTGATCAAAAGACTTAGAAACTTTGCTAAAGTATAGAGTAAAAAGTAGCTTTTAACAATGAGATTCTCTGTAGTAAATTTTCTCAATTATCTTGCTGCTTTCACGCACAGTGCCCCTTGGGATAATGTTGATAAACCTTAAAAAAAAAAAAAAAAAAAAAAGTGGTGATTACGTCTTTCCTTCAGTATGAAAAGTTCCCCCCTTTAGCTAATTATCATGGTGATGGTGGTGGTGATGGATTGCATGTTGGCATGAATTAAAATTTTTAAAATTGCATGTTTCCACAATTGTTTATTATATATAACAACAGTAAGTTTTGCATTGTTCAGTAAATATGGATTTATTACTAATACAGTGCCAGGTTAAGTAGCCAACCATAATTGCTCATTTGAATTTGTGTTAGAGATACTCTTTATATAACTTGGGAGGAAATAATAGTTACCTACTTCAATGTGAAAAGTAAAAGACAGCAAAATAATTAGTAATCCTTTAATTCTGGAAAGCAGAGTAGATGGCCTGGCTATATGAAATCCACAGTATGTCAGTCTTCAAAAATATTTCCAGACAGAGAGCTGTGACTTATGTACTGTGAGTCTTACTAAATCTTAGGTGCCTGTAGAATTAAGTAGTCTCGACAAAGAAAGAAAGATGTGTCTTCATGAGAGGGTAAGAATTGTGTCGTAGAGATCTTTTATTCCCCACAGTGCCTAGCCCAATGCTTATTGGATGAAGTGTTTTGAAAGTTACTATTTTCCTTATATATGCATATAAGCAGATAACTAAGAAAGTGAAAGTGGTTGACTTGCTTGATAACAACCTTTTAAGTAGTAATATATTTTGATAATAAAGTAAATTAACTCAGTATTTCATCTTCACACACAGTTTTTAGGGGTTTGAAGTATATAACATGTTCTATAAGAATTATGAAATTACCATTATAACTGGAAAAGTTATCACACCTATGGAGTCTTGGTTCAAATATCTAGTATTGCCTGGTGCTTTGCAAAATTGGAAATATGTGATTTGACTAATAGTTTCAGTTTACATTGATTTCTGGATCTTAAGGAATAGCCATTAAATTATAGTCTATGCTAAACCAAAAAAATGAAGTATTGCCCAATGAAAACATTAGTTTCTTCACTGAGGATTTTATTGCCAGAATTGGAGAGGGAGTCATGAATAATTTATTTGGTATTGAAACTTTTGCTTAAAATATACCTAATCTGTAAGACTTATTTCTTCATATTAAATTTTAATAGAATTGAACTAAATTGAAATTTTTAATAGAATTGAACTGAACTATCAAGTCTGTCAGAACCTGCTTCTGTCTGGCATTTCCTTTTTTCGCGAAATAAGTTTATGAATGTAGTTAGCCTGGGAACATGTGATTTCTCATAAGGTCTCCATAAAACTTTATAAGGAAATAGATTGCCAATGGGATCTGAGTATACTTCTAACTAAATTATTTTTCCAAACTTCTTGTTTATTTAAATGCTTGAAATGGAACAAAGAAATCATGCTTCCTAAAATGTTTTATTTTTGTCTTTTTCTCAAACTCAGCCATACGATTTCTGAACTGATTCATATTACTGTAAAATATTGAAGTCTGTATGTTTTCCCTTCTGTTGGTTTGCCGGGTACTTATTAGATAATATGAAATTTCAAAAGACGGAAGAAAACAAAATTGTGTTACTTGGACCTCGGTTGTTCCAGCTGGCCTTTCCATGTGTCTTGGTCACCATGCCACACACACTGGTCACCTGCCACATACCAAGAGAATGTTGTTGTCTTCTTCTCTTTCCTGGAGATGTCTTAATATCTTGTCACTTTTTTCTAGTTTCTTTGTACATATAACTGGAAATACTGAGAAAAGTGAAAAATAGTTTTTGCTTTATGTTCTAATCACTTGTTCTGGTTACCTAGTGCCGCTCTGACAGGAATATACCAAAAATGGGATGGCCTTAACAAACAGGAGTTTATTCTCTTACAATTTGGAGGCTTTACGTCCAAGTTCAAAGTGCCAGACTGTAGGGGCTGGGTGAAAGCCCCTCAGCCTTGGACTTCAGCTCTGTCTCCAGTTCCAGGCCCACAGAAGCTAGAGGCTTTTCTTCACTCAGACAGACAGCTGCTGGCTGCTAAGGCTGCCAAGCCCAAGGTTGACAAGTAAAAAGACACAGTCCCAATATTACCAAATCACACGGCAGGCCCTTAATTCAAGTCCATTGTAAGTCCCAAGGTCGGCAGAGCATGGCTGGCTGCTGAACAACGACGCGGCTACATGCACGGTTCAAGGTGCCGTAAGCTAGAGACCATTCCCCAAGGCTTCTCTTTATATAGAGGAAGTAGACCACATGCCTAAGGCAGCTACTTAGCTGCTCCCAGTAGATTGCACCATGGAGCTGATTACCAGTCTCATCATGGGGAATACTATATCCAGCCACTCAACCAGGCCCAGCCAAGTTGGCAGACAAACTTAACCACCACATCAGTCCTTCAATTTGGACAATTAACTTTTTAACAAAATGTGTTTTATTTAAGAAATATATTTAAATCTGGTGTTGGGTTGGTTAATTTTCCAATTATTTATAAACTCTTTGAATATTATAAGTGCTGCTTACCTGTTTGGGAAATTTCATTTGTACAGACCAAAATCTGCACCCTCATCGCAACCCAGTGCCAATGGAGTTCAGACAGAAGGACTGGACTACGACAGATTGAAGCAGGTGTGCATAAACAGCAGCTTTCCTTTGTTGTACTTGTTTCTTTATAAAATATCTCATGCATATTTTTTACTTAGAACATGATTGTGTTTGAAAGACGGATAAAGTTTAAGTACTTTTATACAAATTAAATAGTAGCGTTGGTTGTATATTATTTTTGCAAATCTACATTTCCAACATTTATGGAAGGTGAAGGAACCATTATTTAATAGTAGAGTATAAAAATTTAACTCTATGTCTGGTATGTAATTGTTAAAAAACAAACAAACTATGAGCTTCCCTACTTTTCACTTACCAAATTGTCAGAAATGGACCGAAAAATGGTTATGGCAAGAATGTTGTGAAATGGGCACTCTTGTATCATATGCTTAGAGTAATTTTTAAAGAGCAGTTTTGGGAAAAAATTCCAAAGCCTTAAATAGATTTTCTTACCTGAACCCAGCAATTTCACTTCCAGGAATTTATGCACAGAAGTTAGAGTTATACACAGAGTCCCTGGGTGGTACAAATTGTTAAGCTCTTGATAAGTAGCCAAAAGGTTGGTAGTTTGAACCCACCCAGAGTTACTTTAGAAAACAGGCTGTCGATCTGCTTCTGAAAAGTCACAGCCTTGGAAACCCCATGGAGCAGTTCTGTTCTGCACACGTGGGGTCACCGTGAGTCAGAGTCGGCAACTAACAGCAACCACACAGTTACACCGTGAGGAGCTCTGCATCTAGGAGAAATTATAACATAGAAAAGATATGTATGTAGCAGTGAATTGTGAACACTTGGCCATGGTAGGTGAATCAGGTAACAAAACAATATGTACAGTTAGCTCAGTTTAAAGAAAAAAGATCCTGTCATATTTTGAATACATGTGTGTTATATGTAACACTTAAAAAAGAGTGCAAAGAGTAATAGTGTCTAGAGGTGATGAGGTTATGAGCTTTAAAACATTTTATTCCTAGAAGAGGTGATAGATTTTTTTAAATAGTGTTAAAAAATATTTGAAATCAAAAGAGTACATGCTAGTTAAAACTGTTATCAAGGCATACAGATGGCTCTGTAATGAAAATTTTAATTTTTATCTTCTTATCCTGAACTTCAACCTAGCCTCAGAAAATAAATATAAATTATATTTTTTAAAAATACAGTAATTCAAGAGACATTTATTGGGTATCTGATAGACTTAGTTGCCAGGCATTTGCTAAGCTCTTAGCATGACATGTTCCCCTACTCCTCGTAGTAGTTACCTAACACAGCGCTTATACACAAAGTCTACACACCTACAATTTAGAGACATTAAATTATATCCACAATCTTACAGCAAAGTGGTTGAGTCAGAATCAGAACCTAGATCTATTTTCAAAGCCCATTCTATTACTCATTTTTAGAAATGCTACCAAATGGTTGAGTGGGGCTCATAAAGAGACCAAAAATACTGCTATGAGTTCAAAATAAAAGTTATAAAGAAATTAAAAGAGAAATACTAGCAATAATTTCATATAAACCTAATTTTTATAGTACAAATCTATTTGAAAATTCACATTGAGTTATGTAATTTGAATCCTAGTCATCTGTGTTATTTTGGAGATTGTCATTACTGATTCCCATTTGGTTGACAGTAGTATTTGATGCTATAACTTTGTAACCCTTTAATGATGTTTACATTTTTAAAAAGAAAATTTTACTTTTTCTAACCTGATTTTTTTTTTTTTAAGTGAAGCTGGGTCACTGAAGCTATTGTTTTCCTCTTTGTTAAATATGGATTTTTTTAAAAAAAAAGTATCAAACCAGCATATCTGCACACATTTTAAATTATGTGCATTCTTGGTATCTCAAATGATGGAGAAGAGAGGAATAGATTGTATTTGGGGAATATATCATTTGACTAAGGGATCTGTTAGTTCTAGAGTCTGTGTACTGACTTACGCATGCCAGTTTTCTCACTGATAAATGGGATAATTGAACTAATTGATAGTTTCAACTTCATTTTAAACATTAAAGCCTTTTTTTAAAAAAAAAAAAAAAGGATCACAACACAGAACAACTTACTCTTATCTGAGGTGTATGCGGTATTAAAGAAAATCACATAATTCAAGACAAGGAGCTCTAGTGCCACAGCATTTAAAGCATTCAGCTGCTAACCAGAAGGTCAGCGCTCTGTGGGAGAAATATGAGGCAATGTGTTTCCATAAAGATTTTTACAGTGTTGTAAACCCTATTGGCCAATAATGCTCTGTCCCATAGGATCTCTGGGAGTCAGAATCAACTCAGTGACAACAGGTTTAAACATCACAAAGGAGAGCTGTTATTTTTCACCAACTAAAATCGCATTGCCTATCATAACCCCTTTTTGCTTTAATAATTCACAGTTCTTGATAAATTGCTAATGAAGGGTGTACACCCATTTTTTCCAGTTGTACTTATAACTAAAGATTATGTGAAATAAATGTAAAGATGGAGTGGCTTTTGTCAGTGGATAGTCCAGAACACTACTGTTCAACAAAATGTAATGTAGACCACATAATTAATTAAAGATTTACTAGTACTCACATGTAGAAAAGCATATAAAGAAACAGAGTAAATTGATTTCACTATATTTAACCAGTATTTCCAAAATAGTATTTCAATGTATAATCAGTATTTTAAAATGATGAGATATTTTGCATTCTTCACACTAAACCTTTGCAGTCTGGCTCGTGCTTCATACTTCCCGCACCTGTCATTTCAGACCAGCCACATTGCAGGTGCTCAGTAGCTTCCTGTGGCTGGTGGCTGCCATATTGGACAGTGCACATTCAGAAAGGACCCATCCTCTATATCTCCATCCATGAGGGCAGCCCCTGAGGCCCCTCCAAGAAAATCCTACAGTCTCTTAAAACATAGTTGAGAAGTGGTAGTGATTCCTAAGAACTCTTTTAATTCTAAACTTTAATGATTTACCCCCATGCTTAAAACCAGATGACAAATTTGCCAAAAGCTGACTTCCTCTTTGCAACTTCTTTATGCATCACCTCTCAGACTGGCACCTGAGAATAGATTAAAAAGTAGAACTTTTAACTTCTGTAGAGAAGATCTGAGTCATACCTTTCATTGGGTTGAGAGTAGATTGCTTAGAAATTATTCTGTTTCCTATCTTGGTGGTCTGGAATAAATAAAGATAGGGTTTATATCTAGAGGGAAGAAGGATAAAACAAAATTTACTGGGCTAGTCTTTTAAGAAATAGAATTGTGACTCTGGAAGCAAAGCCACATACCATATTTCATACCTTCTTAAAATTTTATATCAGCAGGTACCTTGTTAGCAGCAATATGCTTTTCTGTGTTTCTGATGGTTTTTCCTAATATTTTAGGATATTTTAGATGAAATGAGGAAAGAATTAACAAAACTAAAAGAAGAGCTTATCGATGGTGAGTGTCTATTTGCTTTTCCCTTAAAATAATGTTTAAGAATAACCATTGTAAAGAAAATGCCAGTAAATTACAAAATACCCAGTTTTTCACTTTCCTATATCGTATAGTGGCTAAGGCACTTGACTGCTGAGCAGAAGGCTGGTGGTTCAAACCCACCAGCCACTCCTTGGAAGGAAGATAGGGCAATCTACTTCCATAGTGATACTGCCAACCCAAGGAGGAGTCGCTATGAGTTGGGTCCGACTTGACAGCACGTAACAACAACAACAAAATATCGTATTTTAAAGCATAAGCAGTTACTTTTTTATATAGTATCCTGCTCTACAACTTGCTTTTGATGTCGGGAAAATTTCTCTCCTTCATATACCATATTTTTTCACATATAAGGCACTCACGTATACCTTGGATGCGTTCGGTGTACAAAGAACATAGCACATTATTTGTGTGAAAATATAGTAATGAAATAATAATGTGTGACAATAGGGATAAATAACATCTTCGAATCCAGATAAGGAGCAGTGCTAGCAGGAAGACCAGATGAACAGATCTTTCTGGAGGGTACTTCCACTCATCCATCCCACCACCCTCTTGTTCTTGAGCCCGTAGAATTAGTATTTTCACCTTGTACCAAAGGAGTGATGGAATTAACACACAAATCTAGAAATAGTGTCCCTGTTTGTAATTAGAAAGTGATGATGGATGCCATGAAAAATGCAACATCAGTGTTTTGTTTGGTTGGTTGGTTGGTTTTTTACTGTTAGTTTGAATATAGTCCTTAAGATTGCTTCACTCATTTCTTTTACCTTCTTGTGATACTTACTTTCAATACTTTTGCTTTTCCACTCAGCAATCAGGCAGGAACTGAGCAAGTCAAATACTGCATAGAGAAACAAAGTCAGGAGAGATAGGACTTTAATCTGGAGAAAAGAAATACCAGAAACAACAACTGTTAACAGCAACAGCAAACCCCTACATTTCGTGAGCTGCAAGAAGAATACGGACACAAACAATTGGAAGGAGGGAAAAACCAACCGATTTTGAAAGCCTTCAGACATATCACTCTGGCGATAAGCTATTTCCCTTCTAGTTTGCTGCTTTTTTTTCTGACCTTTACAACAGGATGGGAGAGAGTCATGTAAGAATTCCTGTAACAGTTATGCAGAAAATATTATATCCTTCAGGCAAGATCACAGTACATTGAAGTATTTTCATGTCAAGATAAAAATCGCACATTTTCCACAATCCGTTGCTACCATAAAGAGGAGAAAGGCTTAACAAGTTTTTTTTTTCCTTCTCCTCCATTTTTGGTCAGAGAGTGCTGATGAAGAATTTAGCAAATTATGCTATTGTATTGTAAATGTTTCTCTCAGGTTTGTCTTCCTATCATATTGAATAATTGAGCAGCCCTGTGTAGGTTAAGATCACAAAATGTGGAACAAATGGAATTGTGTATGTTTTCAGAGGGTGGTATTTATAAGAAAGTGTCCTAAATATGATGTGTTCACCTTGAGGAATTTTAGAATGATAGGAAGTCTCTCGAGCTAGCCTTCATGCAATTTTGTAGATTAAAACATAAAAATCATCTGGAATTTAAAGATTTAGATGCCTTCCTAAATTGTTACAATGCTTTACCAAATTACAACTCCTACATAACACAAACCAGTGGTCAAATGTAAAACAATATATTGTAGATTTATTGTAGGTTTTCAACCTTTTTTAGATTTATGCATGTGGACATTTTTATAATGTAATTACAACCATCACAAATTAGCTTTTTTAATTGCAGACTGTAATGCATGTCACACTAATACGTAGTGGGCTTTTTAAGGCCTACTCCCAGGGAAAACATTTTGTAGAGTTTAGGGGAGTGGGAGGAAGGGATGGAATAACTTTTTATTTAAAGTAAATTTCTGCACTATCTTTTTCTCAATTACCTGCATGAATAATAATGACGACTATTTTGTGACTTTAATTGGTAAATATGTTAACAGAATCAAGTACTTAATCTTTTACGTCATCTCTTCAGCTATTTGTATTTTAACTTCTGTAATCTCAGTGACTTGCAACATGAATCTGAGCTTCACAAGAAGTATATCTTGTGGAACTCAAAAGTTTGATCACTGAATTTGGCAGTTACTACTACCTACGTGCCCCTGAAGTTCATACAGGTGTTCAGTACATCCTCCTGACTGAAGCTGCTTTTGAATGTTGTTATGTTGAAATACAAGAACTAACAATGATGGCAGCAATTAAAGTCATACAAATCATTAAGTAAAGGGAAACCAGTGAAGAGTTCTGCATAATTTTTTTTCTTGTTAATGAGCAAAGTGAGATTTAGGTGGTGGGAAGGAGGAATTAGGTACTCTACTTCTCACCCTGTGTGTATGTGTGTGTGTTTGATGCGAGAGAGTGTGTGTGTGTGTGTGTGAGTGATCTACTCCTTTTTTTCCTTTCAATCTAGTAAGATTAAAATAGAGGAGAAATATATTGCAATTAGAGCTTTTTTGAAATATTTGGCAAATCAAAATTTCACCAGGCTCTCCATCTCGAATTTATGCTTGTGTTGTTATAAGTGCCATATTTGCTTTGAAATCTTTGATTTTCAAAGTTTTACTGAAAGTTTGAAGAAATAATCCACTTTCATTGGCTTTCAAGATTTCTCATATCTCAGTTCATTAGACAAAAGCTTGTTGATAGCAGTTTCCTAAATGCTGCAGTATCGCAGCTGTTACCATTTCAAAGAGATTTGAATGACAGAATTTTTTTTCCCTTTTAAAGTAGTTCCTGTTTCTGTAGAAACTTCATTTTAAGATTAAATTGTGATGGATGAGCTTTCATACTTCAAGTATATAGTTCTTTTTTCTAGCAACTATTCATTGTCATGCAATAGTAGTAAAGGAATTAAAGATGCAGCAAGCTTATAAACTACTATTTTCTAAAAGAAATAGGAGGCATTTTCATCTTTATTATTATACTCTTGTTTATACAAACACTTTGACGATACGAACATTTATGTCCCCTATAAATCTAATCAGAAGTCACTTTTGATTTTGTTGGTTAAGTTAAATAGTCTATAATAGGATAGAGTATTGGGTACAAGTGGTCCAAAGTAAGATAAAAGACTAAAATAAAATGCTAGATCTTAAAAGAAACTGGTTTCTGCACTAAACGTTTTGTGCCTTGGTCTAATATTAACATGATGTCTGTGTAAAATGACAAAAAGACCCAGTGTTGAATCACACTGTATTTTCCATCATTTTTCATTAGTATCCCAGATTGCTAAATGTGTTCTTCCCAAGAAGTTTGATTGAATTACTGTATACCATTGCTGTCACATGTGACAGTTGTGTCATTGTTAGAGATTTCAGTAATTAAAATGGGAAACCGAAACTTAAGTTATTTTCCTTATTATCAAATTATGTTCTTTGGAGCCACATTATTATGATGGTTTTTGTGCTTTTGTACATTGGATGTCTTAAGCTGAGTACAGTTTAGGGGATCCTTTCTAATTACAGGAAGGTACTGCTTTCCTCAACACTGTGATCTGATCTGTGACACACCTGTACTATACACAATGTAAATGGCTAACAAGTCAATTGCAAACAAACTGAATGTACAAATCTTAGTGCTGGTGCTGAAATCTCTTCAGAATAGTCATCATGATTTAAAAGTTTGTTTAAAAATTTGCAAGCATCAAGTGTCAATCAAAACTGAAGATGAAACACTAATGAATGTTGAATTTTCATGCTTTAGGTGTACTTCCTTTTTAGATTTTTTTTTTCATTTCTCTGCTATTTTTACCATACTGTTTCATTTAAATTTCCTACACGCTAACTTCGTTTGTGCGATTGAAATAAAATTGCAGTATATATATATATATATATATATATATACATATATATGTTGCTTGTTTGTGACACTTAGCTGATCTCCTAAAATGATCTATATTGGTTCTAAAAAAGTTATGTTGAATGTGAAAAACACTTTTTAATGTCCATGACTTCACTACTTCTTAAGGTTTACATATTGCTTCACTTTTCTTTAAAGAAATATTTTATTAAGTTCCTGAATACTAAGTAACTTGTACAAAGGCAATGTGTGATAATGAATGTATCTGCCTTTTGTTCGAAATAATTGTCGGGTGTTCTCTATGTCTTGTTCTTATTTTGTCCCAGCCCAGCTTGACACAGTATCTTAATCTGTAGTCAAGAGAATATGAAATTTAACATTTTATTCCATTTTGTTCCGCAATATAGTCAGATAGTTAAACTCATTTATGAGGTTAGAATATTCTTTATAATGATTGAGGGATAAAGGACATTGTGTGCTAAAGATCATCAGCAAGTAATACGAAGGTTGGTTACATTTTAAAATTCTAATGTCTTCATTAGAAGCACAGCAATCTTTGTCCTTTTTTTTTTTTTTTACCAAATCTCAATTTCCCTTTTTTTTCTTCCCTTCCCATTTTCTTCCCCATGTCTCATGGAATGCATGTTCTTTGCATTCTTTAACATTTTCAACCATTGCACAATCTACAGTTCAAAAAATATCAACTGATTTTTCTCTCCATTCTGTCTCAGGTGCTGGCTTGCCTTCATATACAAATCAAAATGATTATCTAAGACTGAAAGTCACTTCCCATTCAAAAATGCTTAACAGATGGTAATCTTTTAAATTTGCTTTAGCTACAATATATTTATACATTTCCTAAATTTGTACATCCTTTCTGTGCCATTGTGAAGAATTGGACTTTAAAATCCAAGTAGTGTTATCTCACGAAGCACAGTCTGCGAAGGTATGCTGCAGGATCTCTCTAATTCCTTTTTGTGTAGTCATCATAACTTCCTAACCCTGTTATCCTTTAAAGTCTATGGATTAGAAGCATAAAAAATGGCATTATATAAAGCAGTGTGAAGGAACTCTCCAGGAGCTCTTGTTCCTTACGTGTCTGTCATAAAATCTACTTCCCTGAAGGTATTTGCTACAGCATTCAATTCAGAACCCCAAATCTGTTCTTGATAGTACCGTTTTTGTTAATAGAAGGATGAGTTAGTATCAGTGCGTCTCCCCAAAGTGCTAGGAATGAGAAAGAGATTTTAAGGGTCTGTTGAAATCACAGATGCTTAGTACCTCTGCCTTTTCACTGAAAGGCCATTTGTTGTTGTTGTTGTTGTTGTTAAGTGCCATCGAGTCGTTTCCGACTCATAGCGACCCCATGCACAGCAGTACGAAACACTGCCCGATCCCGCGCCAGCCCCACAATCCCTGCTATACTTGATCCCATCATCGCAGCCACCGTATCAATCCATCTCATTGAAGGCCTCCCCCTCTTTCATCGACCCTCCACCCTACCAAGCATGACATCCTTCTCCAGGGAATGGTCCCTTCTTACAACA